CGAACGAAGAAAAATATCGGTTGACTATCTTTCAGGAGAACGGCTATCCATATAACTTTATCCAAAAAATATCAACCTAAACCATTCGCGGAAGCGAAAACAAGTGAAGGAACCAACAAACGGATCATCTTACATATATAAAAAGGCATATCAGAAATCGCAACAAGATTACTGAATGCATTTGGAATAGGGACAGCACATAAACCAGCAAAACGACTTTAATCAATTCTATGCAAATAGAAAGATAAGATGACAAACAAAAAATACTGAGCGTCACCTACAAAATAAACTTTTCAAACTTTGAATAAACACTACATCGGACAAAGTGGACTTTTCTTTCAGTTTCACCTGTGATCGTTAGTTAACAGTCTAACGCCATGACATATCTTTTCTAATAGGCCGATATGCGGAAAAATGTGCACATACATTCGATTGAAAGAGGGTTGAAATACTGAATAGAGGAAATATGAAGAACAATAGAGAATTTCTAACACTCAGGTCAATCGGCAATCAATAAATACATCAACACTGATCTAATTTGTCGACCAATCAAAAAAATCATAGACAAGCATTGGATCAAAAATCAAATCAAAAGAGGGTACACTCAAAATATAGAGAGACAGTGATACAATAAAGGTCAATAGCAACCAATCAAGATCGAGGTCAACAGGACAAACTACGAGTCATATATGCAGAAATTCCAATACTTTACTGTCACTTGAAGTTTGTGTTAATACTGTTGTTTAAAAGAACACAGAGAGCTCCACAGCGAAACCAACCAGCTGAGAAAAAGGAAACTTCACCGTAATCAATGAATTTTTCCCTACATATCTTGTTATAAAGTGATTGTAAAAAGTAGTATGTGGATGATTGTATTTGACTTTGATGACGATGTGGTTTTGAGACTTGTCTAAGGACGTGTTCTTGGAGAACCACTAAATCTTCAAGAAAGACTACTTTCGCATTTTTACTTTGCGGCACGAGATTGAAGTGAGTGTTTCGAAACAATTATGTCATTTCTAGGCCAGTAATCGAAAGTTAGAATGGCTATAGTTTGGTTATAATGTAGCATACATTCACTGAGAAATGATAAGTTATTAAAGAAATCATTCATCTGTTCTAAAAACGAAAATATTTCACTCATTGAATGGGTGATTATCGTCTAGGAATTCTGAAGTTCTCCTTCTTGTAAAAAAATTTCATCCAAGATAATACTACTAGATAATCCTTCTCAAACAACACATAATTGATCAAAGTTAAAATCGTAAGCCACCAATCGACCATTTGCTGTTCAAATCAATCTGTTCTGTCATTTCAAGTTATTATTTGTAAAAGTTTGTATACCTTAATATTAGTAGTCATCATACAACTTATTTGTTATCAGTTATTATTTAAATTTAATTTCATCTTACCAAATCGAAAGTCATATTTTGTCTGTGTGTGGCTTGAAGACAACCTTTCCTTGTCTATAGATTTGCGTAAATGAATCTGTTACTTCATGGCCACTTACGAAAACTTCATTTATTCAACTTCCGACTCTAAACGAATTTCTTTGCATTCATTCCATCGGATATTTATCACAGTTCACTCCTACCTCATACTACGAAGTGTACAAGTATTTTTTTCTCGGCTAATGATGTTTCGTTTTCATGTGTATCATATCGTTTCTTTTTTGTAGTGGACTGATGGTGTAACAGCAAACACATTTCGAGAATTTGCATCAACCGATACACCAGATCGAAAATGGGTTGTATTTGACGGACCTATTGATACATTATGGATTGAAAGTATGAATACGGTATTAGATGATAATAAGAAATTATGTTTAATGTCTGGTGAAATTATTCAAATGTCTCGTGTAATGAGTCTTATATTTGAAACAATGGACTTGTCGCAAGCATCCGTAAGTTGTTTCTGTTCAAAATAATATCACCTATTATTTTACTGGATTTAATTTAAAACTAATTTACTTCAATCAACAGCACCTGGAGTTCTAATCAGAAGCTGTGACCGACAGAGTTCAGCCATGTGATTCACCACAGACAGTGGATGAGGGTCGCGCAACATCATAAGTCGGTTAGGGCTAGAAACTAACACCGCTGGATACCGGCCCACTGGCCAGATGGTTAAGCGCCCACTAGCAGAACCGAGGGTTCTGGTTTTATTTACCGAATTAAGGGGCTTGGACTACTAGGCATCTGCTAATAAAAAACATAGGAACTGAAATGACCTAAAAACCATTGGGGCGAAGGATTAACAACCGCAAGATCAGATATAAGATTAGAAGCGAAAACGATAATAATACGTGTAAGCAACGGCCACACACCTATAGACGATTATCGATCAAGTTCTTGGTCAAAAAAGCAAATAACTAGTCAGCTGCAGAGAAGTTCTGACGACTTTATACTTATTGAAGTGTGCACTGATAATGTTGCCAAGATAGATGATGAAAGCTTTAAATTAAAACTATCCAGATCACAGAATAGAGCATACTCAAAATCCTCATCCTAAATCACGAAAATTCTTCACAGTGCCTTTAAATCTCATCTCGAGCAAGTTAGTTGTTAACTTTTGCAAGAACCAAACGAGAATAGAAATAGTCCAGTGCTGCCTACTTGGGACTAATTGTACGACTTATTTGGTAGCCAAATAGACTTCCTCCCACTCTTGTCATGTTGTTCAAGTAGTCTTTTGGGTGGGATTAGCGCGTGTATCACATTAAGGACTTGGCCACAGCACATCATAACAACGTCCTTATTGCTGATCATTGTAGTTGAAGAAAGCTATCGTTTAAACTATACAAATCTCTTCGAATTAATAAAAGCAAATGATTCACTATTATTTCATGCAATATATAGTTTAATCTTTTGTTTGTTCAAGTTGTTCTTGCTTAAAAAACAAACATTTTTTTATGAACTATCTTCTTTTGAATGCTAACAGCCTGCTACAGTATCACGTTGAGGTATGATTTATATGGAGCCTTTATCGTTAGGTTGGCGTCCACTTGTTCGTTCATGGATGAATCGTTTACCAACATCACTATCAGCTGATGACACTAAAGACATGATCAATTCCTTTTTTGAATGGGCTTTGGATCCATGCTTGGAATTTATCCAAACGAATTGTCGTACATTAGTGGTTACACGTCAGGGTAATTTAATTGCATCGTGCCTAGGATTCATTGATATGCTTATTGAAGATGTGGCTAATGAAGAAGATGCCAAAGATAATCGTTATTTAAATTTATGGCTACAAACATCGATTACATTTGGTATTGTATGGGGTATTGGTGGTTGTTTGGATTATAATAGTCGACAAAAATTCGATCAGTTCTTACGAAATTTATTGACTGGTGCAAATAAAACGTATCCATTACCAAAAGAATTAGGTCAGAAACTTGATTTCCCATTCCCAGAATCTGGTCTTGTCTATGATTATTATTATGAAGTAAGTGTACAAGGAAATGAATACTTCTTTGGAAAAAAAACTTTAAAGTTGAATACTTTATGTATTTTTATCAACTGTCATCGTCCAATATTGAGATTGCATCAGTCGGACAAGTGAAGCTTCCTCCAGATCAATATTGTATCATTTCTTATCACTCTTGTTATTCTATTTTCGAATATATTTCATTTTCTGAAGTTACTTTCGTAATAGAATATGAAACTTGTTAAATAACATACAAATGATACCCTGTTAACGTGACATTGTTATAGGTATTTTAAGCTGTAACTTGTATCTAGCGAAAGATTCTGTAAGCGTCAATAATATATATATATATATATATATATATATATATATATATATATATATATATATATATTGTTAAATAGGTAACAACCATTGTCGACTAGTTTGATATGAAGTATGCGATCACTAAAAGCCTAGACAGTGGTTACATTGGGAATTACTTAATAAGGAATGGAGTTAAATACCTCAATTCACAAATGTATCACAAGTAAACTAGATAGTCTAGTGGTAACGCTTCTGATTGTGATGCTGGGCTATATCTGTTTGAATGATAGAGAGAGAAACTTCCTAAATAAAAAGTTAGGTATTTCCACAGATTGACTCCTACTACCGGATACTGTTTATCTTCTCTGACAGTTTGTATACGCTAAGCTAGCAAACTACATTACTGTCATGTTTGTTTAACCAATATATTATAGATAACTATGAATTAACACAATTTCATCATCAATGCTACTAGATATCGAATTTCGGTAATGAAGATATGTGATACTTCTAATATTTAACAATATTTTCTTTTCATTTCACTAGTTTCTATGTAATACAATATGATTAGGTGGATTTATGTCAAGTTTCTCACCACCGGTTATTTGTATGTCTACACTCATATCAAAACATTGAATATTTGGTTCTTGATTTTATAATTTCGCATAGCATTAACACTCATACCGATACTAAGTAGTAAAATGTCAATTGAAGTTCGGTTGCACTTGTGAATCACCATTAGATTGTCAATTTAGACTAGATAAACAAAATCAGTGCTATTAATATAAATTTTTTTTGACTGTCCGAATGTATGTACAATTTGTAAACCAAAATAATACAATTATTAGATGAGGGACTAAATGGGGGGTTTCAACAACCCGATTTTCAAGAAGGAAGGTGTAAGTTAGAAAGCGACCTTAAATCAAATGACATTTTGGTATCTTAATTATTATAGTAGCTGAATAAAAACAGTAGTAGTAAGTGTCGATCGTATCCATTTATTTAAATAACAGCAATAGATTCGATTTCACTATAACTGTAAAATTGATAGTTTTACTGTTATCACATTATCTTGTATGAATTACTGAAACCTCTAATTTATTTTGTCAAAAGATGAAGAGTCACGGATCCTGGAGACACTGGAATGAAAAGAATAAAGGTGATGACAAGTTTACTGGTAGAAAAATACGTGAAATTATCGTACCGACTATGGATACAGCGCGTTATAAATTTATTGTTGATTTATGCGTTAATAAACATCGTCCACTTTTGTTCGTTGGTCCGACCGGAACTGGGAAATCAGTTTATGTTCAAGAAAAGTTGATGCGAGAAATTGATAAAGATAAATATGTCGCCTACTTTATCAATTTTTCTGCTCAGACAAGTGCAAATCAAACTCAGGTAATAATTTATGCAGTCAAAAATAATATACTATTGATTATTTTATAAGTAGTTCCAAACTATTCATTCAAATCCTAATGTAATCTGGCATTTAGTGGATTCCTACCACACAGAAACGTTTCCCAGTTTAGTAGATGCATTACTTTGACATCTGTTTCAACCGATCAATGAACGAAAACGAATTACGTTCATTGTCATACATCTTCAGTAGTTCATTAGACAAGTCAAAGCATCTCTAATTCTACTACCTTTTGAAAATTAACAACAAAAGAAATTGATAACCTGTATTTTCCTCATTTTGACCCATATTAAAAGTGTTTGGTTATATTAATAATGAGCTCTGACACTAACATTTTCAATCTAAAAAATTCACATTACTTAGAAGCTTCTAAACAAATCCAATTTCAGAGAAATAGACTTCAGCTTAGGATCAGTTTTGATTTCAAAACTTGTTATTTATAGTACGTAGTTAATCTTATTATAGTTTTGTTTTCAGTTCAATTTCTCAACGACCACATAACAGTCACATAATAACAAGAATGATTCAATTTCACTATTCTATAAGGAAATTCTTGTTTAAAGTTTAACAACTTTTTTTTTTCAAATAATCATACAAATATTGAAGCTAAAAATATGAAACTAACAAAAAATTAAAATGAACTTTTAACATAAATCAGGACCATGTCATTGTAATGAAAGTGAAATGAATTAAGTGAGTGGATGTGTTTGTCAACCACATAGATCATGAATGATTGGAAATAGACTCATCATCAAAGCAATATCTGATTGTAAAACAAACGTTTTTTGAAAAATGTATAGATAACAGTCATAAGTGACATAGTCATAGTGAATAAACCAAAACAAAAAGAAAACAGTTTATTAAACAAGTGTAAATCATCATTTGATTTTGATATATATATTTCATTTCTTTCAGTTTATTGTCATGTCAAAACTTGATCGACGACGTAAAGGTGTCTACGGTCCCCCAATCGGTAAAACAGCTGTTTTATTTGTTGATGATTTAAATATGCCAGCGAAAGAAATTTATGGAGCTCAACCTCCGATTGAACTGCTACGAATGCTCATTGATCATGGTTATTGGTTAGTTCATGTGAACAGTATTTGTTCGATTGAATTATTTTTAGTTATACAATATAATTCAGATAAACTTCTTGTATTTGTAAATTATTTGTTCAAAATCGTTTCGTTGTTCTTCAGACATATATTTCCTCACATGTTTAAGTGATTGCCTCCTTGATCCCTTTCCAAGTGTTCTCCATAGTTGTTTCCTTTCTATTGAGTAGTTCGTGAAAAGCCTGGAACCTGTTGCTAAGGGCTAGCTTGAATTCGTTGAGTTTGTCAGTATCCTTAAGAAAGGAGGTATTAAACTTTTTTGAAGTTGTTCGGCGCGTTGTCCAGTGTTTCCTGAGTTTCAGTTTCATCTTGGTGACCAGCAAATTATGATCTGAAGCTATGTCAGCTCCTCTTTTGGTTATCGAATCCTCTATGGTCTTTCTGAACTTTTCATTGATGCAGATATGATCGGTTTGGTTCTATGCAGTGCGATCCAGTGGGGTCAACACCACTTTGGGAATCCTGAACCTCCGATGACCAGTTTGTTGGAGGCACATAGGTTTGCAAATGTCTCACCATTTTTGTTCCTTTTCCACAGTCCATGTTGTCCCATGATGTAGTCATATCGCATGTTGTCCATGCTAACCTTGGCATTTAGGTCTCCCATCAGAATGATCAAATCCTTTGATGAACATCTCTCGACGATTGACTGAAGCTTTTCATAGAATTGATCTTTGACGTCGTCACTGTAGTCGCTGGTAGGTGCATAGAATTGGGTGAGATTCATTGTAATACCCTCTCTTTTTGTTTTGAAGGATACTTTTATGATCCTGGGTCCATGAGATTACCATTCTGTCAGTACCTTTTGTGGTTTTTTGGACAGCATCAGTACAACTGCTTATGTGTGAGGCATTTCCTTCTTCATGGCCGAAGTGCAACAGCAGCTCTCCTGAAGCTAGTCTTTGTTGTCCAACCTGAGTCCAAGCACCTTCAGGTTGTATCGTTTCATTTCTGCAGCAACATGGACGAGTCTCCCGGTTTCCTACAATGTACCAACATTCCATGTACCTAAAAGAATGGTTGCTCTGGTTGTAAGAAGGGGCGTCGGTCTCATGACTTCCGAGGGAACTCGGCTTTCATCATGAGACGTCATAGCTCTTCTCAATGAAGCCCTTCTAACTCCATTTGCAGAGTTTAACTGGTTTGAATCATGTTTTCTGTTCAGCGTTAATTTAGCGAGTTAGTTTTCTACAATGTTGGTTCGTTAACCTTATGCTCAACCCTCTTTTTTCTTAGATCGGAACTTCAAGTAACCCTAGAGTTGATCCGTCATCAGTAGTATATTTAGATCCACAGAAATCATTTAAAATAATCAAATAATTAATAAATATACAAAGTTCTCATAGTGGGCCAAGATATTACTAAATATATTTGTGCTACTTTATTTTGCGTGATTGTTCTTTAGGTATGATTTAAAGGATACTACAAAACTGACATTACAAGATATTGATTTAATTGGAGCAATGGGGCCACCAGGAGGTGGACGTAATGATGTGACACTACGTTTTATGCGGCATTTTCATGTGATCAGTATGACAGCATTCAATGACGAAACTATGACAAGAATATTCTCAACACTGATGAATATTTACATACGTGTATGTTGTTTTACTTTTAAATTAATCACAGTTTTGAAAACAAGTTTCATGCATTATATATATAGCTTATCAGAAGTCAATTACAAGATTTTTCATTCGATATCCAAACTTAAGTCGTTCAACAATTTAGCTGTCAAATTTGTTATCGACTACTTCTTTCAAACACATAAGACATATGGTGTTGTCTCTATTTTTACAGGAAACTGACAATGTCAAATGATATATAGAAGCATTTGTATGATCTAAGAATGGACTATGGATTTAGCTAGGGAAAGATTACTATATTCAATAGATATACCTTCATCATCCATGGTCTCTGTGTATCAACTCATATTGTCTAATTGTGAAGAATATGGCTAAAATAAAACGTTAGTAAACATGCTTTTATTTTAAAATTTTAAGTCATGAATCGATCAAAGTTAAACAATCATTAAAAACTTGGAAGCACCGGACGGTCGTTTCTCCCTGATATGGGACTGATTAGCAGTGCGCGTCCACGACTCCTGCACCTCTCAGGATTCGAACTCAGGACCTCCGGTCTTGAACTTAACGCTCAACCTCTGGACCATTGAGCCGGTATCTAACGGTGTTAATGTCTAACTTCGATCAGTTCGCGGAGTTGAGTAACCTCACACACTGTCTTCGGTAGTTACTGTCTACACCTGAACAGGTTGAACTTCATTGGTCACGACTTCCCACTAGAACTCGCAGAATATTTCTCACGGAGCTAGTCACTGCAAGGTGCAGGAGTCGTGGATGCGCACAGCCGATGAGTCCCATACCAGGACGAAACGGCCGTCCAGTGCTTCCAGGTTTCTGATAGCGGTTTAACTTTGATCGATTCATGATATCAATTGTGTGACTTGACAGTCTTCACAACCTCGTAATGCAATTTTAAAATTTGTCTAAATGACTAGGATGAAACTGATTTAAAATTCGGACTTGTCTTGTTATTTACTCTTGTTTATGTTATATTTCACTTGCAGATAACTAATAAAATTATATTGTATGTTAGTGACAATCAGTAACACATTTGTATCATTCTCTTCGTTTCTTTTCGTAATTTACTGTAGTCACAAGAATTCAGTTCTGAGTATATAACAGTCGGTCAAATAATTGTATCGTCAACGTTAGAAGTTTACAAAGCTGCAATTGAAAATCTGTTGCCTACACCGGCTAAATCTCATTACTTATTCAATTTGCGTGATTTTAGTCGTGTTATCTTAGGCATTTGTTTGTTACAAAAAGATCGAGTTGAAAGTAAACAAACCTTTTCACGTTTATGGGTGCATGAAGTGATGAGAGTGTTTTATGATCGTTTAACAGATGATGCAGATAGAACATGGTTATACGAGTAAGTCTTGCAATGAATAACTATTAAATCTACATTCAATTTTTTTTTAATTTTCTCAATGATATATCATTGTTTTAGAATAATTTACTTTGTGAAATAAAGTTACATTGTTCTAGTTATATAACCGATTAATAACTGAGTGATTAGTTAGTCTGACACTTTTTTCCACATTGTTTAACAAACTCTTGTGGCTTTACAACTACTGTGGACAGTTTCCGAAATTTCAAGTAGAAAATGTAACATTTAGCAATCGCCAATTTATTTATCATTTTGAGTGATATGTGTTATTATTTACTTGTTATATTAACAAAGAAAACTTTTATTAGAGTGTGAATAATGTTTGTGCTCTAGTTAGCAAGTGGTTCTTTACGAATAAACGCCTAAATGTCCTGGTACGGTGAAGAGTGAGGAGAACTCGCTCCTTCTCTCCAAATGCTCTCATATGGCCATGCGTACATAGCTACCACCAGAAAAGTCATAATCACTGTCTTCTTTCTGCAATTAAGAAATTGTTAGGCTGAAAAGCAAATGGAGGATCCACCTAAGCGGGATAGAAAACCATTGGTGTATATAGGCTCCAGGATTCTGACAAAATGAGTCGCGTATGAATATATTTTTGGTAACTGGCTACCGTGAGAGTGCTTTTTTTTACGCTGCCTTGTGGATTAGGTTTTTGTGTTGAACACTGAAGGAATGGCTTGCTAGTTGTGGGCAATGTCCCAGCCCACTATTAAATTCATTGATTTGTGTGGTGCTTTTTTGTACCAATGTTTATGTGCTTAAGTAAATAAATAAAAAGCTGAGGAAGATGTTAGTGAATTGTGAATTAATAAAAAAAAATACATTATTTCTATTTTGTTCATCTAAATAAAGCTAATGACCTAAATAAAAATTAAGTTGATTAGTCTGAAGGATGTAAGACAAGTATACATATAATGAGATGATATTCAAGAATGGTCGGATCGCCAACATGATCAAATAATTCTGAGAAAATACAATCTATTCGAGCAATGATTTTATATCTGTTTTTTTTATAATTTAACAAGTATGATGATATATTATATCCTACTTATAATGATTTGATCGTTTTATTTTATTCGCATAAAAATACAGATTTATTAAACATTGTTTGCAAGATAATTTTAAAGAGAAATTCGATCAACTCTTTGCTCATTTGGTTTCGAATGCAAATGAAGCAGTAAGTTGAATGACTTTTCTTAAACTTAATTGGCATTCATTTTTATGTAATCTGTCACCATAAATTTCATCTTCCTTATAGAAACGGAGTTAATGAAATACTGTTACAGAGAACCAGTTAGAAATGGCTTTATGGGAAGGTCATTTAATGACCATCAGAAATGTTTTAAAGGACGAGCACACATTGTTGATCAAGAAATGGATTTACTTTCTAAAGAGGATAAATGTATTTATGTGTATTACTCGGTCAATAAACTGATTTCCTCTTCCACTCTTCCTCTCTCTTTCTCTCTCTCAAGTAATGAGTTTGGGGAAAGATCTCGGACACTACACATCGTTAGAAGTACTTATTCATTTGTGACCAAAATATACTAGACAATTACTGTGTGGACAGTTTTACGTCGTTGTTGGGACTTCATAAATCTGTACAAACAGTTCTTTTAAGGATCGAGCTCTAAACATTCACATTCAGAAATATGTACGCACGTTTAGACCAATCTTCTATGTATATCTTTAACTGGCCAAATATTTTGATCATGAGACTGCAACTGAATAGTTCCTTTATGTCACGGTCACTGTGAGACCTGGATATCCTGAGTTCGTCCTGTAATGCTGTTGTGATTGATAACCTTATTAGCAAAAATGTCACATTTTTATTATCATTTCAAGTATATTTAATTGATAATTTATTCTTATACACTTAGATTACTGAAACACACTTGAGAAGTTATTTAATGTTTGGTGATTATATGGACCCTGAATCATTGCCAGAAGAACGTGTCTATGAAGAAATTAAAGATATCCAAGCAATGTATCCTGTTGTGGAACATTGTTTAGAAGACTACAATAATGCTAATAAAAAGAAAATGTCCTTGGTCATTTTTAGGTGAATTTAGATTTTATCAAAACATGATTTTTTTTTCTTAATCTCAATGTATGTAGATTCGTTGTGTTGTGATATATTCCGATTATAACAGTGATATCTAAATAGTCTTAAACTTGTAAAAACTTCGCTTATTCATTATTCCCCTCTTGACTCGAACATCAGACTTTTTTTCGGAGAGAGAACGAAACAGGCATCTCCACTGGTTATTATTCAGACAACAAACGAATCCTGCATAACTTCATGACATACAATCATACAACTCTGCGAAATAATAGTCCTTTATGCCATTTTGGCGTTCATTGCTAATTAAACTTCACAATTCATAGTTTACATTAAAAAAAACCCCATAAAACAGTGGGAAATATGGCAAGCTAGGTAGACTGACTACTACTTAGAAATAAAAAGATGATAACATCAATTAGTTTTCTTTTTTTTCAGGCTGAAATACTTTCTTAAACTATTTTTATCATTATGATTTATTTTCAAATTTAGAAAAAAAAATTTGAAAACAATAATAAAAACCTTAATGGATAAGCAACAGATGTTTCATTTAATATCACAAATCTGTTCTTGTTCGAATTTTCTCTGCAATTCTTCAAACAATGAAGTACAAAAATTTCCTCAATCAAGGATTAATTAACAGTTATAAAAGGATTTTTCAATGTTAGATAGTTTAAGAAGATGACGTTCACTGCAAATTCTTATTCATTTATAAATTAATTCACTTTAGGGAAATTAGATTTTAGTCAGTGGTGTTTCGCCTAAAAATATTGATCAAGACGACTGATTTTATTACATTGTAGTTACAATCTTCACAATCATATAATTATTTAAAATTGTGAATGACAACTGGTAATATTAATTTAGCCCAGAATAGTTAAATCTGTTGTGACTTCTCTGTTATTATATGCTCTCATGAATTATCATTTATAACCTTGACCTCCTCTACATGAGCATATGTGTGAGTGTATTTGTTTGTCACTTGCTCCATTCGTCACATGTTCTTAGCTCACTTTTTCTCACTATAATAAATATTAAGTCGCATTCACTAAAACACAGTCGGCCATTTTCGCCATTCCAGTTCACATTCACTTTCTTTTTACGCCTTATTGTTCGCCTGAATTGTTGACTCTTTGAAGAACACACTCCTCGAATACTTTCGGATTCGACTAATTATAACTAAGTTGTTTATTAACAGCATATATATGAAGAAGGTAGGATATATGCATTGCCTACATCATTAACGACTCGGTCATATGAGAGTCAGACGACGAGAGTAGAAAGTCATCATATTTTAATTGAGATCAATAATCGTTAAAAGTCAACGCATTCCTGACTAGTAATCGATGTAATGCATGAAATAAATATGCACCGGATCAAACTACCACACTCAGTCAGCTCCACTTGATAAAATTAACAACAAGAATAGCAATTTGCTCAGAATAATAATATTTCTAGTGATAACATGATGATTAAAGATGGAGAATATGATTTGAAAGGAATTAGAGAATTTATGAAAACAAATCAGTATGGAATAACATAGAGGTGCACACTGTGACTAATTTGAAGGTTTATCATCATTGATCATAAATACCGTTTGATTGCCTACCACTGTGGAATATTTATGTAATTATTTGCTTTTTGTTTGATCGAAGTTCAATATTCCATAGTTAGACTTTAGCAAATATTTTGTTACCAAAGCTGATCATAGCTGTAAAAATTGAACATGTTTTTTCTCAAATTCTATATCTTCGAAATAGATATGTGTTAGAGCATTTGTCAAAAATTTGTCGGATTCTTCGAGTTCCTGGAGGTCATGCTCTACTTGTTGGCGTCGGCGGTTCCGGTCGTCAATCACTAACTAGATTGGCATCAGCTATGGCAGGTTATACAGTATTTCAACCTGAAATATCTAAAAATTATGGTAAAAATGAATGGCGTGAAGATATAAAAGTAAATTGTGGAAAATTTATCACATTTGATTCATACTGTTTTCGTGTTTAGTTTAAATTTTCTTCTTTACCATTTAAAAAATTAACTGGTTTTTTGGCGATGAATCGCTTCCAACACGAACAGATATCAACTGATAAGCTTTCGAAAAGTGGATATCTATGAACAACTATTTCAACAGAGTTTTGAATTTAATACACATCTTATTGTGTAAGGCATGGAATTCAGTCAGCTTACGGCTTGGGATGATTGTGCTACGTTTATTTTGGTGACTCAAGATTTACTGGTTCAGATATTTAAATTTTATGAACTTAATCGCTAAACGATACTATATTCCGAAAAAATTGATAGAAAGACAGTACTGATCAGTCTCTAACTGGTAAGCTAAGTAACTGGACACCACTAAACACTTTGAATTTTTATGATTATAATCTGTAATCACCAAATGGGCGATAAACGAGGAATTATTTTTAGGCAGAGTTTAAAAGAAACCTAAGAAGGGTAAAAATAAGTGTGTACAAAGAACACAACAAAGCCTTTGCATCACTGAGCCTTTCCCTGTACTTCACGCACTCGTTGAGAATCTTTAAAGTAAAAATTTGCTCATAAGATTTCAGCATAATGAAAATTCTTTGTACTTAATGGTAAACGGGAATTTTCACAAAACCACTGTTTTGTCATCTGTCAAAGTTTTACGTTGTAAATTGTCTTGTTTAGTAAGAAATCTGTAAATGATCAGGGTTTTTTTACTTCACCGTTTGTTGAGTTCAATTATACTCACCTCATAATGTCTATCTTTCTTGGTTAAAAGGTTACATGAATAGTTTATGATTGAACTATTTAATATTTTTTCTCAAATTAGACATTATTACGACGGGCTGGAGCGGAGGGTAAAACCACTGTCTTTTTGATGACTGACAGTCAAATTAAAGAAGAAACTTTCTTAGAAGATGTAGATAGTTTACTGAATTCTGGTGAAGTTCCAAATCTTTACAGTTCTGAAGAAAAAGGTGAACTAATGGATATCATCCAGAATTCTATGGCGTCATCAGGTGGAAGCAGTAAATCAGTTGATCTATCGCCGTTAGCACTGTATGCTTTATTTGTGGATAGATGTCGTGAAAAATTACACATAGTTATGGCTTTTTCACCTATAGGCGAATCATTTAGAAATCGTTTAAGACAATTCCCTGCCTTAATAAACTGTTGCACCATTGATTGGTTCCAGGTTAGTTTATTTATTGTTTTTTTTTAATCAATAATAAATGAACGAAGAATATTTTTCTCAGTAAATTCTCATCACAGTCTATAATTATAAATCCAACAACTTGGCCGATTTGAAGAGAGAAAATAGATCATTTCTAATTATAACAAGTGAAGTTAGGATTATGAAACAAAATGACAGTTATAATGTTCAGACGACTAACACGCACTGCTTTTAACGTTAATCGGTTTGAGCGTAAAATCCACTTGTGACATCAATGATCAGAAAAAGTATGGACCAGGTAGGGTGAGAGAAATTACACTACATAACACAGTTTTGCTAATCTTCCTCTAGTCATTACACTATTCAAATGTATTAAATGGACTAATTGCTTTGAATAGTACAGTTATCGAATTCTATCCAAATCTTATTGGATAATATTACAGAAATTCAGTAAGAAACATTAAGGTGAGCTGAGTGCTGAGTAAATTGATCTCATCTGTTTCAGAGATGAATAATGATGGTGAAGCAATAGTAATGATAATCATACAAATCTATGTGAATAAAGATGACAAAGACAACTGAACGTTTTTAAAAAGCCGGATCTATATGTGCACATGCACTGTAATCGAGCATTACTGGTTGAATGAGAGATTATCGTATGAACTGTTGTTATCACGGTTGTTCGCTTTACCTATTTTTTTATTTGACTTTCTGATTGATATAGATAACGCTCTCATTACTTGACCTTTGATAGGTCAGTCTAACAAGAGACTAACTTATTGATTTAGAATACTTAAATGATCTAGTTTTATTTGATGTTGTACGTTGTAAGGGGAAATTACAAGTGAATAGGAAAACCAAAGAGTAACAGCCATCAGTCCATGAAGTCACTGATAGTTGGACTAGGTCGTATAAACCAAAATGGATTACCTAGTTTGTATCCATGTGATTTTCGTAACTAATTGTCGCAAACTTTGAATGATATGGTTCAGAATCATTTGCGATCGCGCAGATGTATCCATTTTGTCTTCCCAAGTTCATAATCTAATCTAGGGGATTGGCTTTGACAATTTCATTCGTCTTTGCTAATCGAGTCTCGCTTTAAATTTTATGATTAAGTAATGTGTCATTATTATCAAGCTATTGAAATGTGTTTGTATCAAGATCTAGAAAAACCATGTTGTTAGTGTAATTCTCAAAATGCACTATTGTTTACATCAATATGACAAGTAGTAAAGAGCAGCATCATCGACAATCAAGGTGGACCCGAAGCAGATGTGAGGTCGCGGATCGGCAAAGCAAAAGCTGCATTTCTACATTTGAAAAATATCTGGAACTCCAAAAAAATATCAATCAATACCAAAATCAGGATTTTCAATACAAACGTCAAGAGAGTTCTACTGTATGGAACGGAAACTTGGAGAACTACAAAAGCTGGCATCCAGAAGACAAGTGTTTATTAACAGTTGTCCTCGTAAAATACTTTGGATCCGTTGGCCAGACACCATCAGCAACAATGTACTGTGGGAGAGATCAAACCAGATTCCAGTGGAGGAGGAAATCAGGAAGAAGCGCTGGAAGTGGACAGAACACAGATTGCGGAAAGTACCCTACTGCGTCACAAATCAAGCCCACACTTGGGACCCTCTAGGTAAAAGGAAAAGAGGAAGGCTAAGGAACACATTATGCCGAGAAATAGAGAAAGACATGAGAAGAATGAACAAAACCGGAAAGAACTGAAAAGGGAAGCCCAGGACAGAGTTGGTTAGAGAAAACTGGTCGGTGGCCTATGCTCCATTGGGGGTATTAGACGTAAGTAAGTAAGTAAAGAGTACGAAAATGGAATAGTTTTTAGAGTCTACCACTTTTTGTCATGATACAATTTACTGTGAAATCAATAAAAGATGTTTTTAAAAATATATTACTACTTTTTATGACATTAATTGAATTCTTTTGCTTCGATTTTTTTGTTGATTAAACCATTCACTTTACTTACTAGCCGTGGCCTGAAGATGGTTTAATTAAAGTTGCCAATAAAGCACTTCAAAATTTGGATATGGAAGATCATGTTCGTCAATCCACTGTAGATTTATTCAAATATTTTCATACTTCTATTACACCATTAGCTGAGAAATTTCTAATGAATTTAGGTCGAAAAACTTATGTTACACCAACTTCATATTTAGAATTAATTGATAGTTTTCAAAGACTTTTAACTCAAAAACAAAATGAAACAAACAAAGCTAGAATGCGGTAAGTGGTATATTTATTTTTTAAAAATTTATTTTGTAAGCGAGTGTATGTAATTTCATGTGGTTAGTATTCTTAATTGAATAAATGAATATATCATAGTATTAATTACCTTTGAATGGATTCTTTTCAAGCCTTGAACATTATTCTTGATTCACTTACTTAGCCGTTCAATTTCCGACTAGCTGTTTCTGAAGGTTTGATATTGACTTCGCCTACTGTTCCAAAGCCATTTGGTTTTTGTTGTAAACCAGATGATAGTCTCTTGACTTTTGAATTTATCATACACAGATAGTTTAAAGATCCCCAAAAATTATTCAAAAATAGAATAATACTTATGCGAACAGTTAAGTTCAACAGGCTACCTCAGCATCAGACTGCATAGAACTAAATCTGAATTTATTGTTAGTTCAATGATCAAAATAAACTATGCATAAATAAACTAATTCATGAATAATATTATATGTTCAAAATAGTCAACTTTTACGTTGATCTCCGCTTATATACACTCAAAATGTATCATCTGTATGTTTGGTAGATCAACGAACTATCAATTTACACTTTCTTGTCATAATGTTAAGTGATGGTATGTTCCAGCGCTGTCCGTGACTCATTAACTATCTCGATTGATTGACTCAATAGTTTTTAGACGTGTAAATAAGTATTACAACATATTAGACGTTTAAGCATATTGTTCTGATTTCAAACAGGAAAACTCATTGTCAGGTATGTATAAATCATGTGAATCCAATGTATAATCAGTAATGTGTTTACTAACAGTGATAAGCACAACAACGGTATTATTAATCAAGTCGTCAAAGTAATCGAGAATTTGTCTCGGTAATTAATTATAAGAAATTCATGTAAAAAAACTGAAGAGGATGAATACGGCATATTCAGAATGGAATAAGGCAGGAATAAACATTCAAGGAATTAAGCAAAAAAGCTTTATAATATTTACGTATTCAGTGATCCAACTGTAATTCATTTTAAAACATACATACTTTGAATGTGTGGAATACTATTGACAAGAAAACATACGCATTTATGCGCGATTTGTGCAAATTATTTTCGCCTTATCACTATGGTATAATCGAATCTCTATACTTTTAGAAATAACTACATTCATCAAGAGTTTAATCAACACAGTTAAGCTTACATAATCACAACTTACAAATGAAGTATGAAGAAGCATCATACTCATACCAAATTGAATTTCGTAAATTTTCAAAATGAAGATGATCAGTTGAATTGTAAACTATTGGTCAGTCAGCTAACAGAGTAATGTGTTTAATCTAGAAAGACTATTTTTTATTTTACAACCAAACAGCGTTTTCTTTAAAAAGAAACCATCAATCACCAGTGTACTGTTTGTAACAATTTAATATTGATAATCAGTTAAATAGTGTTGATTTTATAATGCTGACATATACTACTATTTTTATAATTAAAATTTAGTTATGTGAATGGTCTTGATAAATTAGCGTTCGCTGCAGAACAAGTAGCTGATATGCAAACCAAACTAGAAGAACTTCAACCTCAACTTGTATTAGCCAGTGCAGAGAATGAAAAACTATTAACTGTAATAGCTACTGAATCAGTAACCGTGGAAGAACAACGTGTTAAAGTAAAAGCTGAAGAAGAAATTGTCAATCAAAAAGCCGATGCTTCTAAGGCATTAAGTGACGAATGTCGTGCTGATTTAGCCGAAGCCGAGCCTGCATTAGAAGCGGCTCTTTCTGCTTTGGACACGCTTAAACCATCCGATATTACAATTGTGAAATCAATGCAAAATCCTCCACCTGGTGTTAAACTTGTCATGGAAGGTGTCTGTGTTATGCGTGATATTAAACCAGATAAAGTAAATGATCCAGCAGGAACAGGTAAAAAGATTAATGATTATTGGGGACCTTCAAAGAAACTAATTGGTGATTTAAACTTTTTAACTCTTTTGAAGGAGTATGACAAAGACAATATTAGTCCTGCGGTAAGTTTGAATATTTTATGATTTAAAACAATTAGTTCCTTTTATAAATTTTTTCTACAGAACAATGAGAAGACGGAATTGATCTGAAAAAATGTAATGTATTTGCCCTATACATATTCCACTGCTGATGAGTCCCATACCAGGACGAAACGGCCGTCCAGTGCTTTCAGGTTCCTAATAGTGGTCTAACAATGATTGATTGATGATTTCAAATGTGTAGAAACACAAACCTCCAAAACTCTGCCCGAAAACATATACTTGTCATGGCATTTTACGTGGAAATTAATAAAGGGTAATTAAATATAAGGCCAAATAAATAAACTTTTAATTTACCTCCATGAATTTTCAAACAAAACGCCTTGACAAGTATAGATGTGAAACCAGACTTTTAGAAATGTATAGTGCGAATGCATCATATTTTTCAGATCAACTTCGTCTTCTCATTATTCTGTTCAATCCGTACGATTATTTTGAGTGTCATATTGTATGTGATTACACATAGATTAGATTTCATCCGTATAATATAAAACAGGATCGTATCTTAAGCATTTTTCAATAGTATGTCTATCCAACTACAATGTATCCCAGTTTAATTTTAAAAGTTGCAATTTTGTAGGTCATCATGGGTTTTTTTATTTATCAGATTTATCTATTTCTCAGTGATATACGATTGTGTAACTCTGCATTAGAGATTTCATCGAAATTATTCATATTTACTATTGGCTACATTGAAGTCAAAATATACAGAGTTTTTCTAAGCTGCATTACATTATTTGAAATTATTTGATTCTGTTGACATAATCTGTTGTGTGAAGTGTTAAGCAGTATTCATTCATCGGATTCCAGATCCGTACATGTTGTATGTATTAAACTAATGGTATTCGTGGAAGTATTTAGATTGATTCATGAACTGATTAGTTTGTACCATTGCTTATAAACAACATTATTTGTTTTATTTCATATTTCCTTTAGATAATGCAACGTATACGAAAAGATTTCATGACAAATCCTGAATTTGATCCAGCTAAAGTAGCTCGTGCTAGTTCAGCTGCTGAAGGCTTATGTAAATGGATATTAGCCATGGAACAATATGATCGTGTCGCTAAAATTGTGGCACCGAAGCGTATTAAATTAGCTGAAGCCGAAGCAGAATTAGCAGAGAATATGGCCTGTTTAAAAAAGACACAAGAAGCACTAGCTGAAGTTGAAGCAAAATTAGAAAATTTACAAAACCAACTGATCGCTACCCAGGAAGAGAAAAAACGCCTCGAAGATGAAGTGGAGAATTGTGCAACTAAATTAGAAAGAGCTACAAAGTTGATAGGTGGTTTGGGTGGTGAGAAAGATCGTTGGCATCAAGCTGCTGAGTATCTTGGAAAATTATTTGATAATCTTACTGGTGATGTACTGATATCAGCTGGAATAATTGCTTATTTAGGACCATTTACATCCACTTACAGAGAAGAATGTATTTCAAATTGGATTATTGAGTGTAAAAAGCAGAAGATTACTTGTTCTGAACCTTTTTCACTAACTAATTGTCTAGGTGATCCTGTAAAAATTCAACAGTGGAATATTAATGGTTTGCCACGTGATGCTTTCTCAATAGACAACAGTGTTATTGTTGCAAACGCTAGGAGATGGTAAGTCATGTACAACTTTTTGTATAAACTCCTAGGCATTATGTGCATTAAGTTTCGTTTTTTAAAACGAAATATTTCAGAGGACGGTGACATACAGATGTTGGACCATAATATGTCTGTTAAACATTTAGTGACCAAAAGCTACATTTTATATACACATGCTGATTAATACTTTACAGTGAAATTAATGTCCTTTAATGATATTTTGAAAAATCATTACTGAATGCCTTCGAATATGGATTTTATTATTTACTTTCTACTGTCCTCTGATGTTTTCGGAACTGTTGTTTTCTTGTGGAGTTATCTAGTTTGCCATTCATTTTTCAGATAATGATGTTTAAAACACAAAGAAAACTTCCAGGTGATGGAGAAATCTGTTGTCTAAAAAAATAAATGGTTTTTGCAGTATTATACTCTATGTGAATAGGGCTATTTAACTGATCTCGAAACTCCATTGTTACTGAATATAATGGAAGACAATTATAGAACAGTTAATGAAAGATGACTATGCCATTTTATAGTTTTAAATTAAAACGTTATTTTGACCAATGTAGATTTTAAGGGTGAATCCTTACAAAATTGAGACAAAAATAGAAAATTAATTAGTCGATGAAGTCTATTATGAACAATCGGTTATGTAGATGATTTTTTGTATTTGACATTTAAAAGTAATATGAATATTTGAATCATTGTCATTTATAGTAGGTTGGAATACTTTTAGCCATACTCAACGTAGAACTCAAACATGTGTGTGCATCTATTCAAGGCATCATACAGAACATCACTAAAACAAGAGGAGAAATTGACAATAAGAAGATAATAATCTTGACTTTACTGAATAGCTCTATGCATATAATACAAAGGGAGATTTTCGGTCATAAAATGTAATAAAGTTTGAAGTTATATTAAAGGAATTTATTTTTAAAAAGGCGTACAATCTGTGCATTCTTGTGGTTGTGACCTATTTGGTATTCGATCAACGAACATCTATAATCATTAATTACAGTTCTTACACGGGCAGATGAAACCAAAGAATCTGAGTGTGAAATGAAAAATGTTTCGTACGAAGGGAACAGAATCGAGATGTGTACAAAAAGTGTTGATAACTAATACAGACACAAGATGACTTAATTGTCATTCAGTTTAAACATAGACGCTGAATACTCTTCTTGTAAGCATATATCCTTGTTTTTCTTGAACTCCTTCTCATAGATTAAATTGTATGGAGGAGGAATAAATTATGGCAGTTTTGGTTGATTTTCCGAGCTACACCATTTAATATAGACGCTTCTGTTTTGATATACTGTTCACTGACTATCGTTTGTGAGCTTGGTAATAGACTTATTGAAAATAAATGTTTGTACAAATATTCACTGTAAATTTTTAGTTCGTTATTAATGCTGATGAAGGCCTTTTTGTAGATAAGTAGTATGCAACAGAGATATATGTAGTTTGTGACATGTTTTATTTCAATTTTCTGATCACAAGGCCATTGATGATTGATCCACAAGGTCAAGCTAATAAGTGGATAAAGAATATGGAAAAAGACACAGGAATCACCGTTGTCAAATTGACTGATACCGATTTCATTCGAAATTTAGAAAATAGTATTCAGTTTGGTACTCCATTACTTTTAGAAAATGTTGGTGAAGATTTGGATCCAGGTTTGGAACCTGTATTATTGAAGCAAACTTTTAAACAAGGTAAAACATTTACTTATTTTCTGTATCAAGATGTACAACTAACTATATTTTTTAATTATTTGTAAGATTAATGGAGATTTTTTTAGGATTAGCATAAACCCGTTAACGAACTAATGATAGCCACATGAATACTAATTGATGATTATCTTAGCTTGTAAATTCTTTAGTAGTAAGAACTTTCAAACATTTACAGTGTAAACGAAGAACTACAAACTCTTGTACTAAGCTTGTAACCAACTATTGGATCTCTAGGTCGGTATAAAACACTTATCGTTTCTAAACAGTTTTTAAGTCATTATTTTATTACAAAATTAATAAGATTATAAGACCGAAATAGCTTTTAGCCCATACTTCAGCGAACGAAAAATCAGTCATATGCAACGCAGAACCTAAGTATATTTGTGCTTCAGTTCAAATTGCCAAGCCATATTTTACGCATAAAAATAAAATTGAGAAGACAATCACGATAGTAGTAGTAATAATAGTACCAGTAATGGTTAAGAAGATCAAGCATAAAGAAAATGATTCTGTCATTAATACAAAATATTTATGCAATTCAGATTTCTAGCGAAACCTTTATGTATAAAGGTCATCAGTCATTCTGGTCTATAATTTATTTGTTCATACTTTATAAGACCCAAGTCACTAATATAAAAAACCTTTAGTCCCTTAAATATAAATTCAAGTGAATATACTCTATCACTTAATGTCTATATGACATAATTTTGGGATTGGATGTATTCTGTAGTTTATATATTTAACAAGTATGATTTACTTCACATGGCAAGTATTTTTGAAACCACTCAAGTTCAATACCTGATTTTATCAAATAGAAATATCACAACGTCATTATAATATGAGAAGGCACGGATTGACAAAGCAAGGGCAGCATTTTCACAATCGAAGAACTTATGGAACTCAAAACAACTGTCAACCAACACCAAAGTCACAATTCTCTGTACAAGTGTCAAGAAAGTTCTACTATATGGGGCGAAAACTTGGAGAACTACGAAAGCCATCATACAGAAGAAACAAGTGTTCGTTAACAGTTGTCATCGCAAACTACTTCGGATCCGTTGGCCAGACACCATTAGCAACAACCTACTGTGGGAGAGAACAGACCAGATACCAACGGAGGTAGAAATGAAGAAGAAGCGCTGGAAGTGGATGGGACACACATTGCGGGAAGCACCCAATTGCATCATAAGATAAGTCCTTATTTGGAACGCTCAAGGTAAAAGTAAAAGAAGAAGACCAAGTGACATATTACGCCGAGAAATAGGGAAAGATGTGAGAAGAATGGACAAAAATTGGACAGAACTGGAAAGGACGGCTCAGGACAGTGCAGGATGTAGAATACTGGTCGGCGACCTATGCTCCGTTGGGGGTAACAGACTACAGTAAATGAGTTAGAATATAAGAGAAAAAGAATCATTTATTCGAATGGCCATTTTAAAATTGATAAATCATGTACACAAACTGGTTGATCGATTGTTTTTGTAAAAAAAACCTTAATTAGAATGTTTCACTATATTTATTATTTTTATCATCATGCCTTTCGTTTTCTTCCATTACATTACAAAGGTGGTGTAGATATGATTCGATTAGGTGAAAATGTCATTGAATATTCAAAAGATTTTCGGCTGTATATCACAACGAAATTAAGAAATCCACATTATTTACCAGAAATTGCTGTGAAAGTTTCCTTATTAAATTTTATGATTACGCTAGAAGGTTTAGAAGATCAATTATTGGGTATTGTTGTAGCTAAAGAAAAGTAAGCGGATAATGAAGTAGATGATATAAGCTTTTTTAAAATTAATTTTTTTCAAGTAAAAGGTCTGTTGGAAAATATATTATTGTCATTACTCTTTTACTGAGCTATTTATGTATACCTCTGAACATAGTCACAAATTGTAAGGATTATTTCCTCCAAATGTAAAATTCGATTGAAATAGGATATGAATTTCAGTTATGTTGATTGTTTATATTATGAATTGACAACTACTGAAAATCAGCATGCAGTGGAAAGTTGTTTTATTTCAGTATGATAACAGTAGTCACTGTAAAATATGCTAAATTCTTTTTGTACACATTCAATAACTGTTCTTTGAGAAGCAAGAATCTATCTGAACTCTTACTGAATTGTTTGATTTTGATGTCAGTTTTAATGAATTAAATGATTTTTGTTCTTTGTTCAAATCAGGTTATGCAAGCATCATGTTTTGCATCACCCAGTATGGTTCAGGAACTCGAACATAATAGTCTGTCAACCTGTATGATAGATAATACAGTTTTTATTTGCATAAATTCATAAAGCTTTACTATTTTAAAATTTATATGCTTTCAGTCTTAGCATTTAGCCTAAATTGATTCACTTCCACCAAGTTATAGACTTTGAACAGATAGAATTAACTGGTGTATTGTTGGGATTATATTTCATTCATTTTGTACTTCGCCTAGATGTAGTTTACTAAACATACCTAATTTGAATGTGAAAATTAAGAATCTACTTCCCGACAATAGGTGCTACCTTGACGTGGTGGTCGGGCTGGCCTATCGTGATGACCCAACCGAGCTATATTAGCTGGAACATATGTTCCTGAAGGTTCTACCATGCCAGGCAGGTCGATTGGAGAACGATGAGACTAAAAGCAGCAACTCAAAGTCTGAGGGCGAAGTTATACTGCTGATTGTGTAGAAGTGTGATAGCAGTAAGGTGTTTACCTCGGACAGCCAGCATCTACAGCGATGCTGTCTTCTCACAATGAAGGAAGGGGTTAGAAAACGTCGACCCTAAAAATGTACGAACAATACGAAGTTCTACTTTGTTGTTGACTAACTGACTGAAGAGTTCACTCAGCAGCTTGAATGTATTCTACCATTGGTGTTACTGCTGTTTATGATTGTACTTGATTTTTATTAAGAAATTAAAACACCCCTTACTATTAATTCACTTCCGTTATAAAACCTACTATGAAGGTGAGGAAAAACAACCGAAGCATTACATCATTTACACTATTTCATATATTTTCAATGGTTAAAAGACACCGTTTGTCATCTGGAAATCCACAATAATAAAACATACAATAATTTTTAAATGTCAACTTTTATCATTTCTGCTTATACTCATAAAATTATATTTTGTGTACTAATGAAGACTTAATGTTTGTTAAATTTATTTGTATATTGTAAAATGTATGTATTAATGACGTGATGTAAAAGTCATTCGACTTATCCTAATGCATCCCGCGTACATTTCATGTTTCACAGTATTAACAACTGTCAAATGTTCAGTATAAGATAATTTCGAAACCGTGTCTTCTCAGAAAATGCACACCTTTATAATAATAATTATTATTATTACTATTAATATTCCCCTTCAATTTCTACCAACCTGATTAAGCCTACAAACTAGAGTATATTTCAGGATACATTAATCTTATTAAATAAACACTAAAGATTTTTTTATCAGTTTAAAAAAATCATAAATATTCATTATAGACCAGATCTTGAAGAAGCTCGTCAAGAATTAATCATTACAACGGCGAATAATAAACGTATGCTTAAAGAAACAGAAGATAGAATTTTAGCTACTTTATCAGAATCCGAAGGAAATATTTTAGAGAATGAATCTGCCATTCAAATACTTGATTCATCTAAAATAATTTCAGATGACATTTTGAAAAAGCAAAAAGTAAGTCCAGTCAAAATTCTTTCTATTCATTATTTGTTAACTTTTTAACAAAGATAGATGTAATACGAGGAAATAATTATCAACTATATTACATTGTAAGTTATGAATGAATGTCCTTGTTTACTGGAATTTCACCTAACTTAATAGCTTCGTAGCGGAATTATGTTAGAAGTAGAATAACTGAAAATTAGTAACTAGTAAGCAATAGTTTTTCTCTATTATGAAACACAACTGTGGCTTAAACTCATCAGGTTAAAGTGCGTGAACGCCAAACGATTGGTCTAAGATCAATTCACGGAGTTGCGCAACCTCATACGCAGTCTTCGGTAGTTACTGTCTACACCCGAACAGGTTGAACTTCACTGGTCACGTCTTCCCACTAGAACTCGGAGAAGATTCCTCACGAAGCTAGTCACTAATCAGCACAGGTAATTTGCATTACGGGGGTTGTGAAGATTTTCAAGTTACACAATTTTCGAAAGCGAGAACTGATCAAGTTATACATTAACACCGTTAGATACCGGCTCAGTGGTCCAATGGTTAGGCGTTCGCGCACAATACCGAAGGTGCCAGGTTCGAATCCTGCAGGGTGCAGGAGCCGTGGATGCACACTGCTGAGGAGTCTCATGCCAGGACGAAACAGCCGTCCAGTGTTTCCAGGTTTCTAATGGTGGTCTAACATTGATCGATTCATGGTTTCAAAAAATGTTAAAAATAATTGTCTATTAACAACTAGTACATATTATATTTTCATAGTATGAAGGTGGAAAATCGTCAGAATTACGTCTTTTGGATTCCGTAAGGTATGACTAGTGAACAGTAGGCTATCTTGTCATTTCTACTTTCCAATCGGTAAATGGAGACGGAATTATTGATCCAGAATCGTCTTACAAATTCGATAAAATTGATTTTAAACCACAGTTTATATTAAATGTACACTCCTTTAGATACGTCAGTCAGGTTATGCATAGGGAATTGAGTAAAGATACCAAATCGGTTGTTGTGGTTTTGAATCTTGACCGATCCAAAAGCATGTGTTACCTATCTTAACCACAATCGCCTTGGTCAGGCAATGTTTCTTGGTGTACAACTGGGTTGGAAGAAAACAGGTATTAGCAGGACCGAAACGTGGCACTAATCAATGAGGTCATGACTAGTTGTCTCAGACATGTTGATACATGCATACTGTCTGTTTGGGGTATGAGTGATATGGTTGTATATGTCAGATGACGCGACTCAGAACCGACAACAACAGCGCAAATACAGTCATTTCTAGTCTTTCTCTAGATCTTGAATTCCCGTATTTACATACATGTTCATCAAGGTGTTTTGTACTACGTTCTTAATATTTATTCTGACTTATTGATTGACTAGCCATAATGAAACTACTTCAACCACAAATAAATGTTTATACACTCCATTTTTATGTACGTTATTACATTAATCATTTTCCTTTTCTTTTAATTGATAGGTTGCTGAAGAAACCCAAAAGAAAATTGACGGCGCACGAATGGATTATTCATCTATTGCTAAACATTCTGCTATACTCTTCTTTTCATTAACAGATCTACCTAATATTGATCCAATGTATCAATATTCATTAACATGGTTTGTAAATCTCTACATTAATTCAATTCATGATAGGTGAGTGTGAAGAGAAATAACTTATTGCATATTTAGATGTTGATTTTTATGAAACAAAAATATATGTGGGCTTTAACTAGTTTTTGTCATTATTTATAGCAACGTAGTATCAGTTGGTTGATGAGATTTTTTTCACCGACATCATTAAATTTATGAATTTCGGAATGTGTAGAAAAACTAACTCTTAACTAGTATTATAATGTTATCGATGCTTATCTACATCGAATAATTGTTGCGATTAGATTTGACTGAGCGTTTATCGTTCTAAGTTTGGTCTGTTAAGTTAAGTGTCAGTGACACTGGTCGTTATCTGAAGCATATTTCACATTCGGAACATTTAATGGGTACATTTTAACTAGGCTAAATGGTAGATTTTTTGAAACATATAAGCTATTTACCTCTTTTTTATTATGTAGGTTCGACTAACACCGTTACGACTTTTTTGATGTGTCACAAGCAGTGGATATCAACTATATTGATCAACTAGCTGATGAAAGTTTATGATAAATACAGTATTGAATTAGACAAACTATTTCAAAAAATTACTATGCATCTGTAGAATAACCTGATAGTATGTTCATAGGACTTACTTAAGTGATATCATTGAATATTCTGAATAGATTTACGAAACTATGTAGAAACTGCTTTGAATAACTTAATCTTTATATCCAATGGTTATTTCTATCTATGATTAGTATATATATCACTTTATTTTACTAGTTTGTGTTTTACATTGTTTCTGTCGTTGATATTCTTGATAGATCACTTGGAATATCAACCATAAACTTACAATTTATATGAATATATGTCTAGGTGAAAAAGTTATAAAACAGACGGTAGGAAAATTTCCCTATAGAGAGGAGATGAGTTTTACTTAAATATCATGTGAAAATTCTGCAAAATAGGACAAATATAAAATCGATATTATTGTGATTTTATTCATATCAATAACATGTGTAAATTAAAGAAAGATGAATATGCGATTACTGGTATTTTTTTCATAGGAAATTAATAAAATTGGAAAAGATGCGATTAAAAAAAAATAGGTTGTGGTGGATAAAAGTTTGTGGTATATTAGTTGGAATAACCAATCTGATTAAAAATGTGATGATCTTATTACTGGACAAGATAAACAAAGAGAACAAATGTACGTGTTTTGGTCAGATCCAGTCTTGTTAATCACACAAATAAATGATTTACGAATGTCGGTAAATTACCTGGGATCTGGTATACAACTAAGGAATGTGATATTCAATATTTATCGAATACGAGAATCAGATTTGGTTTATAAATTGACGGTTACTAAACTTCTTATCAATAGATGTATTCGGACTATTCGTCGGAAAATCACTAGACACGTTGACTTTATCAACAAAGTTTTAAGGAAATAGGATGAAAACCCAATCGACTAAATAATTAGGTTTATTTTTGCCCTTTCTGATCGTTGAAATTGTTACACTTAGAATTCTTTCATTTACAAATTCTCCCATTGCTAGTTTAAACAGAATTCAATTCATTATTTTACTATTAAATCAATTAAAAACCGACATGTATTTCAAAAACCCTTTAATAATTCAACACTCAACATTTGACTGGTTTATTTTGTCGGACTAGGTTTATCATTATTAGAGGTTAATTAAAACTTAAATATGCATCAACTGGTTAGCTACTGAAATAGAGCTCTGATTCATTTGTCGTTATTTGCTGTTTAAACTTCAATACTTCATCTCAATTCATAAACATTGATTCTACAGTGTGTGTATAGTGAATTTAATTGATAAATTTTCGCCAACTGTGAAGTATATTCAATGATGTAGTGTGTTTACAAATATTTCGAGCCAATATGGCTTCCGCAGCCTTTGAACAAATTAATTCATCCTTTATTCTCCAGTTAGTATCGACACATATTTCTGTCTTGTCAATTATTCGTTCATAACCTTGGTTGTTTTTACTTGAGTGAGTTTGGGCATACTTAAAACAAGTCTAGCCCATATTGTCTGACTTTAAATAGTTAGTCATGCCTCATCACACTGAGTTGGCTTACTCACCTTCTCCATTTCCCCACTTTGCATTTACACTTGGCATTCTCATGTTGGTTTGTGTAAGCGAGTGCATGAAGTAAACTCATCCAACCGTATCCGTATTCGGCTTCTCACTACCGCCGCTGCCTAGGTATGATATACGCAATGTAAAGGGAAGATTTATTTCATCACTTACTCGATCATTCTTTCAAATCGAAATCAGATCTCAGATCACTAAAGTGATTAGCCCTACTTCAAAATTAGCACAGCCATTATGTCACCTAGATTCACTTCAGAACACAAATTATTTCGAAATCTGGTTCTTTAACATTGTGTATGGTTAACAAATAGAAATTTTCAATGATTTTACAACACATTCCTTGGTCTTACTGTACACAATCTATACGCCTCATTTTCACTATATTCCAGACAAACCAAAATAAAATTAATGTTGACTAAACTATTCGTATCATAATTCATTTCAATGGATTTATATCGAACAATACGAGTAGTAATAAGAGAATTGATCTAGACCATTTCTCTTATACGAACATCTCCACTGATTATTGCTTCATAATCGTTTTCATTATTGTTATTATTATTATTATTATTATTATTATTATTATTATTATTACCATCTTTTATGATTTGTGAATGAGTACTTGCCTTTTCTTTGCATTCTTTTCTTTTATACCCTGACATTAAAACAAAACAAAACAAAAAACACTGTTGTGTACAGTAATAAATCGAAAATATTGGAGAAACGATTACGTTATTTAAAAGATCATTTTGAATATAATCTTTATACCAATGTATGTCGTTCATTGTTTGAAAAGCATAAAGTTTTATTTGCATTCAGTATGTGTATAAATATTGTTAGGTAAGTTGACTGTATATACATTTTAATATCTTTATAATGATATGATAAATATAGTTTTGTTACATTGTTGTTATATAATAGACTAGTTTTTTTTAATAACTTTTCGAATGGACTATTCGCTAATGTTTATTTAATGCTCTCTATGTTGTATCGAATTATCTGATTATTATCTCGGGTATATTGAGACTTACTTCTGCAGAGGTTATTGGTACACTGTCCGCCTCTTTCTACATTAATTGCTGTGTGATGAAAAAACGAGCTAAGCGATCTGCCAAGTCCAAATCGCCCAGCTCCATACTAGATTTCTAGTGTATCCCGTGCTTCCCCTGAGATGTTAACCTCTTCATAATCCAGCTAACCACCAGAAGGGAAAGGGAGAGAGGAAGCAGCCTTGTGTAACACCAGTTTTAACTTGGAATGAGTTTACGAGCTGCCCTATATGCACAGTTTTGAACTATATTCCGTCATAAGAATTCTGTGTGATGTTGACTACCTTCTCATGTACGCCGTAGTGTCGAAGAAGCCTCCATAATATCATCCTATTCACAAAGTCAAATGCTTTCTCATATTCAAGGAAGTTAATGTCAAGTGATGCATTTCATTCAGCTGGTTGTTCAGCAATGAATCGTTGTATCACCATCTGGTCAGTGCTGAACCTATGCTTACGTAATCCAGCCTGCTGATCTTCAAGTGCGTCTACGGAACTCTTTATTCTGTTCAACAACGCTTTGTGTTGAAGAATTTTCGTAATGGTAATGGCGGGATCATTCCTCTGTAATTTTCGCACTTTCTAAGATCTCGTTTTTTGGTATCTTGATGAGGAATCTTTCTCTTCAGTCTGTTGGTACTTGTTCTTCATCTCAAACCTCTCTGAACAGAGAGTGCAACATATTTGCAGTTACTGCGATGTCTGCTTTCAATGACTCAGCTGGTTTATTTTCTGGTCCTGTTGCTTTGCTGCCCGTGATTTGTTTGATGGCCATGCTGATCTTTTCCATTATTGTTGGGTCAGCGTCGATTGGCAGATCTGTAGACGCTGCTTCGATGTTGGGTGGGTTCAGTCGGGCTAGTCTATTCAAGATCTCTTCAAAGTGAATTGCCCACTTGTTTTGCTGTTCTTGGAACTCGATGACTGTTTTTCTCGCATAGTTGTCTTATATTTCCCTCTCTAGCAGCTCTTTTCGCTATCATTTTCTGTTTACCGACTGTTATTGATTTCTATCTTCCTTTATTCTTTCCTTACACTTTATTCAGAGTATCGACAGAGATCCATTCCTTATGATGGTTCTTCTTGTGACTGAGAACCTCATGACACGATAAAGTTACTGCTTATTCAATCCCTTTCCGGTCTTTGCCATGGTAATTTTTTCTTCTCTGAGTAGATTCTATAAGGCTTGGAATTTGTCGCTTAAATTAAATTAGTTGAGTTTGTCATTTTCTTGAAGCCAAACCGTTTTGAACTTTGGTAATATTGTTTCTACAGTTTTTCAGTGTTTATTTAGCTCCGTTTTAAACTCGGTCACCACCAGATGGTAATCTAGTGACATAAAATTGATCCTTTATCGTCTTCATTGTTATCGTTGGTGGTCTCATAGCCCTAGATGACATCCTTTGTACCCTTCTCTTTCTTTGTCTTGAAGGATGCTTTGATAATCTTTGGTCCATGAGATTTCCATCCTGAATGTGCTTCTTTGGACAGCATCATTTAAACCCCTTGTGTGTGTGATGTATTTTCTTCTTCACGGCGAGAGTACAACATCATCTCTCCAGAACCTAACTTTTTGTCCAGCCTGCGTTCAAAGTGTTACACTCATTCCAAGCACCACCAGGTTTCGTTTTTTGTTACTTCTTCAGTAACGTGGATAGTTCTCGTGATCGCCCATATAGTGTGGACATTCCATTTACCTATATTTTTGTTGCTGTTGTTGTCAAAACGGTCATCAACCTCGTGACTTCCGAAGGAACTGAACTCCCATCAATATTCGTAATAGCTCTTCTAAATGAAGACTCGTCAACTCCCAGGGCAAAGTTTAGGTGGTTAAAATTATTTTTGCTCCTTAGAGTTTATTTCAACAATTTAGTTATCTATGGGCTGAATTCGCTAACCCCATATCCAACCCTACTCTTTTACCCGGGCTTGTGACTGGCAGTAACTCTAGATGGGCTTCGGGCTGGGTTGTATACTGATTTTACTTACTTACTTACTTATTTCTGTTGCCCCTAATGAAGCAAAGGTTGCCGACCAGCATTCTCTAACCTACTCCGTCCTGGGCCTTCCTTTTCAATTCTACCCAAATGCTGCTCAATTTACTGATGTAGTTCGGTTTTAAGGTAGCATGCGTCTCAAACTGACCGGATCCAGATAAACATTGGAAGCCAAGGAATACTGTAAGGTTAATATGCGTACGCCTGATTAACATCGAGAAATATTGCCGCATTTCCTTGAGAAACTTTGACCAGTAAAGTTTAGGTTTGTAGCGTCCTAAAACGTATCACCAACGTCAATGGATCATAGTCACACAATACCACAAACAAATTATTGATTTGTAAATCATTGGATGCTAAACGTAGCACACTAGCTGCAAAACTCGAAAGTTCTCCATCCGACCTCTGGTAAGGTGGACAATCCTGAAGAACTCACAACTAAGGCCACATTGAAAATCGTCGTAGCACTCACCAGCCTCTATAAATTCATCTGGAGTATGAGATTTAACAGTCCATTTCACTTTACTTGTATTGTGATGTATAGAGAATTGATTGACGTCGGAAACGTTTAACAGTCGATTTTGATTCAACTGTTTCAATATAACAATCAGCAACACTGAACAACAGCGAAATAGGTGGGTAGAGCACTTTAAGGAACTCCTGAATCGACCAGCTCCACTGAACACACCAAACATCGAAGCAGCACCCATGGACCTCCCAATTAATATTGGCGCACCTACGATTGAGGAGATCAGTATTGCCATCAGATAAATCAAGAGCGGGAAAGCAGCAGGACCTGACAACATTCCAGCAGAGGCAATGAAAAAAGATGTAGAAGCAACTGTGAACATATTTCACATCCTCTTCAAGAAGATTTGGGATGAGGAACAAGTACCATCAGATTGGAAAGAAGGATACCTGATCAAAATACCAAAGAGAGGCGATCTCAGCAAGTGTGAGAACTACAGAGGCATCACTCTTCTCTCAATACCAGGCAAA